GATAGAGGGCGTTCATTTAGTTTATCGTTCATATCATTAGATTTACCTATTAACAAATTGTTCATGTTAGTCTCCTAGAGAAAATGTTGTTTATTATAAAAAAGAGAATCGTTGTCGTGAAACGTTGAGAGTCGTCGAATGTCGAGTTCAGTAATGAAATGTACTGCGGTGAGTCGAGTTGTAATAGTGTCGTTCGCGTCGAAATATAATATTGCATCGGAATACGTTTAAAGTGCAAGAATACGAATTATCGAAACATTACAACACTTAAAATTAGTATTTAATAGTTACGGTTCACAATATCTATTTCAATTGTATACCCGTTCCCAAATTTAATCCCACAATACTTTTCATAAAAACATGGAAAACATAATTCACAAGCGCACCATGCACACTTTAACAGTGAAACATTTTCGCAATCACATAATTTTAATTCATGTGGAAAACATACTTCGCTAACGTTTTTAAAAATAGGTTTTTCTATATTTGTCAATCCGGCTGAATACCACGCATACAATAACATAGGCTTAAAAACAGGTACACTCAATTGATTTTGAATTAAGGAATGTATTGTTAAATCGTCCGATCTTCTAGTTAAATTTACCTTATTTTCTAGTACGTACGTGCAATATTGCAATTTTTTAATAAAAAGTTTTACTTGGCGATAGAAATACACATCGCATGGCTGTATTAAAGGAGTACATTTTGGGGGTATAATGGCAAGTTGCCAGTTTCTATTATTCTCGCTATCTGTAAATATACTTTTATAAACATCGCCCATATGTCCGCCCCACGAATCCACAATTAATAAGAAATTATTATTTACAACGTATGGTTGCAGAACTTTTCGTAAATATTCCGCGTACAAGTGCTTCGTTAATTTTCCAGATTTGCTACATGTTACAACTACGTTTTTTAATTTTTTTATCAAGGTATCAATTTCTTTCTGCACTCTTGGACCAAATTTATCAGCCGTTTCTTGTAAACAAATAAATACCAAGGATACAATGTGGCCTGACATAGTTATTGTGTACTGCGCAGTATACGAATGCGTTAATTTATTTACGCTATCTGTTTGAACAATAACATTTTTTACTCCTTTAATGTCTAACGTCATATTTATAGATGACTGATACTGACAGCCCGTCTGGTCTGTATTAATTATAAAATTAGCGTCATAATTGTGGGACATATTCCTAATTTCTGTTTGGAATATCGTTGCATTTTGCAGAACGCCTGCACTCGATGATACATCCGCTTTACTCATGAATCTCGTAATTTTACGCTGCCGTATTTTATATTTATTTTTTAATTTCTCGGCCCATCCTATACTGGCAATAAATTTATTAAATTGCAATTCACGAGCAAAAGATAAACCCCATTGTTGTAGCATGCAAGTAGTAATTTATTCATGATTCTCTTTTGCTTCTTTAAACCTCTGGACGATCATACTATTTATCTTTGTGTACTTGTCAAAATCAGTACCCCCTTTAGCGATATCTGCTTCCCATCTGAAGAATGAACAGAAAAATACTTTACATATATTATATTATCTATATTTCAGACAGTATAAATGAAATCATATAATGAATTGAAAATCAAAGAGTTTCAGAAAATGTTTCCTTTTCAATAACGATGCACCATTTTTTTGCAGCGTCTCCAGAGACCACGACGGATGTGCTTTAGCGAGTGCCACAACTTTTTTCTCATAATCTAAAGATATCCGCTCACTCCGTTTTATAAGTTCTCCATTCCATTCTTCTTCCTCATCGGAAGTACCCGTTCATGTTTCGGAATCATCGCTTACACTATCATCCATAAATATCAGTTCTTCATCTTGTTTCATGTCTATTTCGTCCAACATGATAATTATACGACTGTACATTTCAGCCGCAATTTGTTCAGTAATGTCTGACGATTCGACCAACTTCATCTCCGTCATGAAACCATTTTCTTTTAACATTTCCCCACACGTTTTCCACGCACAACACATATGTATTTTTAAACTTGACGATTCTTCATCGACAACTATTTCCTCACGCGAAGGACCAGCTATCACTTTATCACATTCCATTTTTTTAAGTACGGACGGGACAAATTCTTGAAATAGATTCTGCGACGTTTCGATGCAGACTGATGACCGAAGAAAAAAATGTAAAAATTGCTTGGACAATGTTTCACTGTTAAAGTGTGCATGGTCGCTTGTGAATTATGAAAAGTATCATTCGCAATATTGTACTTATAGTTCATAATAAGCGCCTTCCTCGAAAAACATTGTTCAATATATTACCTTCAAACCTGGTAGACAGTCGTAAGTACCGAATGATTCTTACAAAAAATTCGGTAAGAATGGTTCATAGAGAAAAATATATTTACAGTGCGCTTACAGAAAAATACACGTAAATGTGTTTAATAATGTTACTTCCAGTGTACTTCCTATTCGTATTAATTTGATTGTTCACCCCGAAACGGTGAAGCGAGTAAATGAACCGTGGTTGATTTCAAATGAACTACATCGATTGTATGGCTCTCACGAATTTATTAGAAAAGGTCACAATACGCACAAGCAAATACACCCTGTCGTTCTG